AAAGGAGTTGGGGAGAGTACGGGTCTAACAGAGAATACAGGTCCTTCAGAGAGAAATGTAGCAGCAATAAGTTGAGAACCCTTGATGTCTAGGACAAATCAGGATTTTAGGGCTTTTAGGGCTTTTAGCAAGTCCAAAGGGAACAATTCAGCTGTAGCCCTACAGGAAAATAGGAAGTGCAGGAAGGAACCTAAGAAAGCAATTAGAAGAGCAAAGTGGGGGCATGAGAAAAAACTTGCAAACAGGAGAAGGGAGAATCCTTAGATACTTTATAAAAACATTAAAGGGAAAAGGTTAACCAAGGTAAGAGTAGGGCCCATTAGGGACCAAGGGGGTAGCCTGTTTGTGAAACTGCAGGATATTGGAAAGGTGTTGAAATGAATATTTCTAGAACATAGAATCGCTACGCTGCGCAAACAGGACATTCAGCCCACTAGGTCGACACCCCCCCTGTGAAGAGCATCCCACCAGACCCAGCCCCCTTTCCTTTTCCTGTAACCCTGCATTTCCCATGTCTAATCCACCTAATTTACACACCCCTGGACACTATGGGCAATTTAGCATGGTCAGGCCACCTAACCTGCACATCTTTGGACTGTGGGACGAAACTGGAGCACCCAGAGGAAACCCACACAGCAGCTAGGAGAATTTGCAAACTCCACACAGACGGTTGGCCGTGGGTGGAATCAAACCCAGGTCCTTTCAGCAGTGCTAGCCATTGAGCCACCGTGTGTTTGCTCTGGAAAAGGAGAAATTAGGTACGGAATTCAAGAAAAGGGACTGTGAAGAACTTGCACAGTTTGACATAGCCTCCAATATCTCCCCATTTCCTATGTCAGGCTTAAAAACAGACAAATCCGCTGGGCTGGATGAATTGCAATCCAGGCTACTGTAGGAGGCGAGACAGAAAATTGCGGGCGCTCCGACACAAATTTTTAATTCCTCTCTGGCCACAGGGGAAGTGCCAGAGAACTGGAGAGCAACTAGTGTGGTTCCACTTTTTAAGAGGGGTGGTAGAGATGAACCCGAAAATTACAGCCTGGTGAGTCTCTCAACAGTGGTAAGGTAACTATTGGAGAAAATTCTGAAGGAGCAAATTAATAAACACTTAGAAAGGCATGGGCTAATTAGGGATAGTTAGCATGGCTTAGTCAGAGGGAGGTCATGCCTAATAAATTTGTTAGAATTTTTTGAAGATGTGATCAAGTGTGTGGTTGAGGGAAGTTCAGTTGGATTTTAGCAAAGCTTTCGACAAGGAGACTGAGAAGGTTAAAGCACGTGGAATTGAGGGAAATTTGGTGAAATGGATCAGAAACTGGCTTAGTAATAGGACACAAAGGGTAGTGGTAGAAGGCTGTTTGAGTGACTGGAGGCCGGTGTACAGCAATGTACCACAAAGATCAGTACTGGGACCCTTATTGTTTATTATATACATAAATGATATGGATGAAAACGTGGAGGGAATGTCAAGCAAACTTTAAAATGACACCAAGATTGGTAGAGCAGTTAATAGCAAAGAAGATGGTTGTAGGTTACAGGAAGATGTAGATGGGTTGGTCAGATGGACAGACCAGTGGCAGATGGTATTTAACCCTGATAAATGCAAGGTGATACACTTTAGAAGGAAAAAACAAGATGAGGGAGTATTTAATGAATGGCAGGACACTGGACAGCTTAGATGACCAGAGGGATCTTAGGATAATTATTTATAGACCCATGAAGTTGGCCAAGATTGGGAATAGGATAGTTAGGAAGGCATATGGGACACTTGCTTTCATCAGTCATGGCATGGAGTATAAGATCACAGAGGTAACGTTGGAGTTATACAGAGTGTTGGCCAGGCCACAACTGGAATGCTGTATGCAGTTCTGGTCACCTCACTGCAAAAGGATGTGATTGCACTAGAGCAGGTACAGAGGAGATTTACGAGGATGTTCCCTGGGATGGAGAAATTGAGATATAGACAGTCTACTCTAAAGAAAACAGTTCAAGCCTGAGCGGGGACATGATTGAGGTGTATCAGCTTATGAGGGATATGATTTGATTTGATTTATTGTAGTCACATGTAACCAGTACAGTGAAACGCTTTGTTTTGCGAGCATTGCAGGCAGATCATGGCACAGAAGAACATAGAGATCAAAGGTCGCTTAGACAGAGCGAGGCATACAGGTTACACTGCACACAAAAGTTGCCTAAAGCAAGATCAACAGTAACGAGATCAACAGTAACGAGATCAACAGTAACGAGATCAACAGTAACGAGATCAACAGTAACGAGATCAACATTATTTGAAGTTAGAGAGTCCATTCATCAGTCTAATGACGGCAGGGAAGAAGCTGTTCTTGAACCTTTTGGTGCTTGTGTTCAAGCTTCTGTATCTTCTGCTTGACGGAAGAGGTTAGAGGAGAGGATTACCGGGCTGGGAGGGGGCTTTGATACTGGCAGCCTTTCCGCAGCAGCAAGAAGTGTTAATGGAGTTGATGGATAGGAGGTTGGCTTCTGTGATGGTCTGGGCTGTGCTCACAACTTTCTGTGGTTTCTTACGGTCCTTGGAAGAGTAGTTGCCATACCAGGCCATTTATGCACCCAGACAGTTTGTTTTCTGTGGTGCATCAGTCACAGGTCGTGAGGGTCCTTGTGGACATGCTGAATTTCCTAAGCCACCTGAGGAAGAAGAGGTGTTTGTTGTGCCTTGACCATTACACCAATATGGGAAGTCCAGGACAGGTTGTCGGTTATCGTCACTCCAAGGAACTTTACGCTCTCAACCCTCTCCACCTCAGCTCCATTGATGTAGATGGGGGTGTGTCCTCTTCCTTTCTTCCTGAAGTCAATGATCAGTTCTTTTGTTTTGCCCATGTTGAGCAAGAGGTTGTTATCATTTCACCATGTCATCAAGCTCTCTATCTCTTTTTTGTATTCAGACTCATTGTTGTTTGATATTCATCCTACCACGGTGGTGTTGTTAACAACTTGTAGATGGTGCTCATTCAGAATTTGGCTACACTCATTGTGGGTGTACAGGGAATACAGTAGAGGGCTAGGAATGAATCCTTGGGGGTCGCCGGTGTTGAGGATTATCATGGAGAATGTGCAGTTGTCTATCTTCATTGGGTCAGGAAGCTGAGGATCCTGTTGCAGCGGGCAGAACCATGCCCTAGGTCTCGAAGTTTTGAGATTAGTCTGGTGGGGATTATGGTGTTGAAGGTGAAGCTGTGGTTGAGGAGTAGGAGCCTGATGGAGGTGTCCTTGTTATCCAGATGTTCCAGGAATGAATGTCGGGCTAGGGTAATGGTGCCAGTTGTGGACCTGTTTTGTAGGTAGGCAAATTGCAGGGATCGAGGTAGGCTGGGAGGCTAGAGTTAATGTGGTCCATGACCAGCCTCTCGAAGTACTTCAGGATTATGGAGGTCAGAGCCACTGGGCGGTAGTCATTAAAGCACATTGCATGTGCTTTCTTTGTTATTGGGATGATGGTGACCTTCTTGAAACAGTTGGGAACTTCGGCTTGTGAGAGGAAGAGGTTGAAGATGTCCACCAGCTGATCCACACAGGATCTAAGTGCACGGCCGAGGACTCCGTCTGGGTCTGTCACTTTCTTTGAGTTGACTCTCAGGAAGACCAATCTGATGTCTGCAGCGGTGATGGGGGGAACAGGTGTGTCCTGGGCTGTTGGGACAGGTGACACCACGCCGCTGGCATTCTGCTCTAACCAAGCATAGAAAGCATTGAGCGCATCAGGGTGGGATTTGATTTTGCCCAATCTTGCTCGGCTTCAATTTGTACATTGTTATGTTGTGTAGGCCTCACCACAGGCAGCGGATAAGCGTATGGTTGGTTTGGACTTCTAACTTGGTCCAGTACTGCTCTTGGCATCTCTGATGGCTTTGCAGAGATCATAACCAGATTTGCTGTATAGGTCTGGGTCGTCTGACTTGAATGCCACATTCCTGGTCTTCAGTAGGCAGTGGATTTCCCAGTTCATCCAAGGTTTCTGGTGGGGAACACACTGATTGACTTAACAAGGTGTAGAGCTGGATGAACACAGCAGGCCAAGCATCTGCAGTTCCTACTATCTCTGAAACACTGATTGACTTCTTCGGCACGCGGTCCTCTGTGCACTTGACAATGAAGTCTGTGACCGTGGTGGTGTACTCGTCTAGGTTTTCCGCTGAGTGTGGTCCAGTCCACCAATTCCAAGCAGTCCTGGAGAAGGTCTTCTGCTGCTTCAGACCAGCATTGTACTAATTTCTGTGAAGGATCCTCCTGTCTCGGCTTCTGCTTGTAAGCTGGGAGGAGGAATACAGTGTTATGGTCTGATTCACAGGGTGAACAGAGAGCAACTGTTCCCCTTAGTTACAGGGCCAGTCATGAGAGGGCATAGTTTTAATGTAAGGGGCTGGAGATTCAGAGGGGATTTGGAAAAAATCTTTTTCACTCAGTGAATAGTGGGAATCTGGAATACACTGCCTGGGAACGTAATGGAAGCTGGAAACCTTATAATCTTTAAAAAATATTTGAGTACTTCAGATATCATAATATTCAAGGATATGGGACAAGAGTAGGAAGTTGGGATAAGTGCGCTTTTAGTGCTGGTAATGTTGGTGCAGAGTCACTGGGCTGAAGGACCTTATCTATGTATGAATCTGTGATCTAATTTGAATGGCAGGCAAGACCTGAGGGGCTGAATGGTCTAGTGCAGTTCCTATTTTGTATGATGCTTCAATATTTAGCACAGTTCCCATTATGGTTAGGAATTTGTCACCTGGCAAATGCTATTTTGTGCTCAGGAGATAGTGTGCAATCTTTGAGTGAAACAGCAGTAGCATCAGGCAAGGGGTGGAGCTGGGACATGTGAACAGGCCTAAAGTGACTGACACTATGGAATTTCCATGTTAATAGTCCGGGAACTGCTATACTTGTAGCCAGTGATTTATTACATTGTGTATAAATGATTTGTGCATTCTTAGTATTGAAGTTGAATTTCTTTTTCCTTTCAGGCTTACAGTTTACCATTGTGGGCACCATATTCATATCTATATCCACTGAACCAAGCTTATTTGAAAAGTTGTGGAATCTATCCAAGGAGCCCTGCACCAGTATTTCACCCAAATCCTTGGTTCCATGCGACTGCTGGAGTAATGCATAATGAGAATGTTATAAGTCCACCGCACTTATCCAGTCCTGCAGAGACCAATGCTCCTGATCATTCAGTACAAAGAGATGCCAATGATATTGGCAGCCATTCACCATTGTCACAAACTGCTACACCACTTCTGCCTCACAAAAGCAAACCTGTGCTAGACACACCGATCCCTGAACAGTCACCTCAAAACTTTAATCCCTTGTTTCCACGGTATTTTCCCAATTTGATATCGGATGGAACCCAACATTCTGGCTGGAGAACGCCTGTATCACAGGCATTATTTAGCCAGCATGCACAAATGCATACTTTCAGTTTTCATCCAATGTACATGGCTCTGCCGAGTCATGTATTTCCATTGCAGATAAATAGTGGGAGCTCTGCTTGTCAAAATGTTCAGAAGGTCGGTGCATCAGATCTAGTTGAACCGATGTCAGGCAACACACAGAGTCATGAAATAGAAGAGGTGGGGAGACAGCCAAAACTATTGACCAGTGCTGAAGAGGGCAGGCTGACTAAGACTCAGCCTGTCATTTTTGAAGATTCTCAATTATTGGTAAAACCTGGTGGTGGGATTGGTGATACGTGCCCCTTGGTTGAGGAACAGTCAGTCTCTAGCCCTGGTGAAGGATCTGCAAAGCAACACTCAGCCCTTAGAAGGGATAAAGACTCCGTATTGATAGAAAAGCTAAATCCAGCACCTGATAGTGGGCTTTCTTGTGTGGATACACAGTATATTGAGGCTCACAAAGTTGCAGGAGCTGATGCAAATGAATTCAAACTTGCTAGTCAACGTTTTGAGGCAAAATCCAGAAGAGACTTAACTTTGCAGTGCATTAGTGAATCAAATGTTGATACTGTGGCACATGGTGTAGAAGTCATCCTTTTGGATCATACCTCTGAGAATAGTTACAAAATGCCAGTCATAATAAATAATAACAAACCTGTGCAGTTTTATAGTCAGACTTTGGGAAAGGAAAGACACTCTATAAAAGAAGATAGTTCTTCAGAAAGGACCGTGTATCGACGTTCTCCTTATGTGCGCAAGAAAGGAGAAAAAGAAATGAGTAGGAAAAAATGCCAAGGAAAACCTTGGGTATCAAAAACTACATGTTGCCTACCTGATAGCCATGTTAGCAGTAGGGATGCAGCAGATAGCATTAAAAGTGAGAGCAAGTTACCAATTAAAGATGGCAGTGTTCAGAGTGTAAACAATGTTGCACAAAATTCTGAACTACCTGTAGATCTTGATACTGACAGGCATGAAAGCAAAAATGAAAAAAAACAAGAAAAGGTTAAAAACCAAAAGTTTTCTATGCGTCAAAATAGACTGGATGAAGAAACTGGTCTTGGCAACAGGAGAAAACATGATGTAAAGGAATTTCAGAATTGGATGGTTGTGGAAAATGCCAGTGGAATGTCATTTGAAGGAAAACGCAATGGTTTTAAAAAGCAGAGATATAGAGAGGGTGGGAAACCTAGTCCTGCTGTACGAAAATGTTAACTGCATAAATTTTGGAAAGCAGTGACTGACAGAAAGAGAACCATTACACTTAAACTGATCTTACAGCTATTTTTGCAAGAATTTAAACACTTGTTTTGCAGCAGTTGCAGAATTGATAGAATATTAAAGCAAGTAGGGAGGCCATTTGGCCCATTGTGCCTCTGCTGTTTGATACAGCTGTCCAGTTTATTCCCATACCCAAGGCTTTTTGTTGTAACCTTGAAAATAAGTCCTCTTCATGTATCTGCCCAAATGCATTTTTGAAAACTCCCATGCAATAATTCTACCATCTGTCAGATGTTGTGGTTCTAGATCGTAATAACCCTTTACATGAAAAGAAAACTTCCCAGTTCTTTGTCAATTATTTTAAATGTTACCTCTTGGTACTGAGCCACTCTCTAGAGGGACCAGTTTGACACTTCTTCCTCTATCAAATCTCACCTCATAATTTTGGAAATCTGTGTTAGGTCTCCCCATATTGGAAGCAGATTATTCGTGGGGTCTGTTAAGAATTGATTGTTGATGCTTCAACTTCACTATATTTATTAATTACTTAGAGGGCCAAAGACACAAATTTACCAATGAGAGTAACCAATGATAAAAACATAAAATTACAAAGACACATTGATAGATTACATAAGTGAATGAGATGTGGTCAGTGGATTACATTCCAATTCAGTGTAAGGTCATCTATTGTGGTCCATAAAGAATAGATCTGAATAATATTTACAGGGTATAAAGTTAGGCCCAAAGTGATTTAGGGGTCTATGGATCACTATGTAAGGGATAAAATAAATGAGTGACTAATGAAATGTTACAGTACTAGAATGTTTTACTACACTATAGCTGCACAAAAACCTAGTTAAACCACATTTAGAGAATGTGGATAGGAGTTTGGAGCAGTGCGAGGCAATACGGCCCCCAAGTCTGCTTTACAATTTGATCTACAAGGCCTTTACTAATCAGATTATGGCCTCAACGCTACTTTCCAATCCAAGCCCTTTGATCCCTTTAACAGTCAATAACTTATCTAGCTGAGCCTTAAATGTATTCAATGCCATGCCTCGCTGAAATTCTTTTGATCTCCATCTTATACGGAAGAAGTCTTATTTTTGAACTGTGCTCCCTAATTTTAGTTTCTTCCATATGGAGTAACATCCTTGCAGCATCCACCTTGTCAAATCCCCTCAGGAACTTGCTTCAATAAGATCATCCCTATTCTTTAGAACTCCAATTTCTTTTGAGGCCTAACATATCTTGACAATCTTTACATTGCTGGAAATCAGGTGAGTGAACTTTCCCTGCACTACTTATATTGTAGTGATTTCTTAAATAGGGAGAGCAAAACCAAGCTTCAGATGTGGTCTTACTATTGCCCAATACAATGCTGGCAAACTTCCCCACTTAAATATTCCTTCCCAATTGCAATAAACTACAAAATTTCATTTGCCTTCCTAGTCACTTGATGTACCTCCTTACTAACTTTGTAAGTCATGTACCAGGGCACTGAAATTCCTCTATACTGTAATGCTGCCATCTCTCCATTTAAACAACCTACTATTTTCCTTCCAGCCAAAGTGGACAAGTTCACATTTTCCCACATTACACTCTATCTGCCAAAATTTCTGCACACTCATTTATCCTTTCTATATCCATCTACAGAGTCCTTGCGTCTTCCCCCTTGTTTGTGTCATCAGCAAATTGAGCAACTATACATTGGATCGCTTCATCCAAGTCAATGATATAGATTGTAAGTAGTTGCAGTAATTACCAAAACTCATCCCTGTGGCACTCCACTGATTACATTTAGCTAATCTGAAAATGATCCATTTATTTTTGCTTTCTTTTTCCTGTTAGCTCATCAGTCCTCTCTGTGTCTTAATAAGCTATGAGCTCATTTTTGTAGTAGCCTTTGATGTGGAATTTTGTCAAGTACGTTGTGGAAAGTGAAGTACATCATAGCTACTGGTTCCCCTTTTATGCACATACTGTTACATCCTTAAAGAACTATAACAAATGAGTCAAACACCACTTCCCTTCCATAAAACTGTGTTAACTCTGCCTGATTGCATTGAGATTTTCTAAGTAGTTTATCAGAACGTCCTTAATAGATTCTAGTATTTTCTCTATTATAGATATTAAGCTAACTGACCTATAGATCCTGCTTCTGTTTCCCTCCTTCCTTGAATAGAGTTCCATTCATTTTTTTTACTTAGCCGATGGAACCTTTCCAGAACCAAGGGAATATGGTAAACCAAAACCATGTATGTACTCCTTTCTCTGTTGAATTATAATTGTTTTAAGTTTCTCCCTGTCTTCCACATGATTTACATTTTTTTTCGGCATGTTATTTTTGCCTTTTAACTGAAGACACTCAATTAATTGTTGTTTCCTTATTTCCCATGATTATTTCCCCTGACTTACACTTTTGACAACCAACACTCATTCATTTTTTCATTTCTTAATACCTATAGCAACTCACAGTATCTGTTTGTATATTTCTGTGTCATTTTATTCTAATGTGTCTCCATTATTTCTTCAGTTTGCTGATTTTTATTCACATAATCTTGTGTTCTGTCAGTAAACTTTGTGAAATTTACACTTTCTTTCAGTGCAATACTATTTTTAACTTCTTTAGTCACAAACGGTGACTATCTTTTTCTTGCTTTCTCAAGGAAAGTATCTTTGCTCAGTGCTGTGAAATATCTCCTTACCTTCCATTTAACCTAATACCTAATTCACTTTACAAGACAACAAGGTGCAGAGCTGGATGAACACAGCAGGCCAAGCAGCATCATAGGAGCAAAAAGGCTGACGTTTCGGGCCTAGACCCTTC